CCTACAACCCCCCTCCCTCAGCCAACTGTCCATATAGAGCAGCTGGTTCATACCTACAAGTATATTCTGTATATGGCAGATGGGTGTTTCAGGCTTGTTGGCCATCATCAGTGCATGGCTTCTATGGACTATCCATGAGAAAGTACACCCAGGATATGGTAACGTCTCATGCCTTGGAGGGGCCGGAGATGATGGGGGTTCCGGTCCTAGCAGGTGATGGGGCACTACATGAGTGTTGGAGGATGGCGATGCCACTGGTGTCAATGGAACACATGAGAGCTATTGTCACATGAATAAAGTATAGAGAAGACCCAGGACTGGAGAGAACAGGCACAAGCCGGGTCACCAGCAGATGGACAGGACGGTACCAATACCGAGCCTTGGATGGGCCGGGTCAGCAAACTGCGGGCAGCGCGGTTCCAGAGCAGCGGGCTGAAATGGCCTTCAGGTGACAAGCCGGAGTCATCACAGAAGAACAGCAAACCGATGAGAGTCACAGAGGTGTCCGGACCGGTACCAGAATCGCCGGTCACAGAGTGCAGCTGACCATCTCTCAGCACCACTGGCATCACAAGGGGGGTGCGGCCCACACCGTCAGAGGGGGTGACACCAAAATGAATGACAGTCGCTGGCGTTGCTCTTCACAATCGTCTCTTCTCACCACAACATGTCCGGGTGGCACCGTATCTGGCCACACTTCCACCTTCACAAGAGCTTCAAAGAACCTTAGTTTTTGTCTTCGGACCGTTCCTTTAATTTTACATATGACTGGAGTGCTGAGGAACATTGAAGGAGCGCGGTGGGAAAAATGTTCTCGTCTTTTATCTGAACCCACAAAATTCCAACCTAATGTGATTTTCATTTCGGGATAAATTGGAGATACCGTAACGTGGATGTGCCGGGTACAAAGCCCAACCCGTTTAATACGTCCGGAGGACATTTTCCAGGGCCTTCGACTGAAATGAGTTATCTCAAAGATGGCAAATCGAATGTTCTGATTGTTGAAGGAAATTCTCGCCGTGTTCGGCTGGCTTTAGGGAAAAGAGGAAAGTGAAATGAGAACTCTGATCAATCCCAAATCCGACCTCAGCAGGAAGATACTCAGAGAAGAGTCACCAAAACCTCCCACATCTCATCCTCAACCAGGACCAGAACCAAGACAAAACTCACCAACACCAGCAGACAAGGAAAGCCGCCCGCTCACCTTCCATGACCCTCAACACTTCTACAACAACCAACATCCTTCCATGACCCTCAACACCTCTACAACAACCAACATCCTTCTATGACCCTCAATACCTCTACAACTACCAACATCCTTCCATGACCCTCAACACCTCTACAACTACCAACATCCTTCCATGACCCTCAACACCTCTACAACTACCAACATCCTTCCATGACCCTCAACACCTCTACAACAACCAACATCCTTCCATGACCCTCAACACCTCTACAACAACCAACATCCTTCCATGACCCTCAACACCTCTACAACTACCAACATCCTTCTATGACCCTCAACACCTCTACAACAACCAACATCCTTCCATGGCCCTCAACACTTCTGCAACAACCAACATCCTTCTATGACCCTCAACACCTCTACAACAACCAACATCCTTCCATGACCCTCAACACTTCTACAACAACCAACATCCTTCCATGACCCTCAACACCTCTACAACAACCAACATCCTTCCATGACCCTCAACACTTCTACAACAACCAACATCCTTCCACGACCCTCAACACTTCTACAACAACCAACATCCTTCCATGGCCCTCAACACTTCTACAACATCCAACATCTTAAGATACAAGGACTTCACCTTCTAGACTGAGGACCAGAAGACATTGTACTGCATAGAACTCATATCCCGGATCCCACACACATCATGCTTAGACTAAAGACTATAAAAGAACTCCAAGCTTAACCATCAAACCAAAACAGTACCGAGACCTTCAACCCAAAAACATGGCAGGAATGCAGGAAGCCCACTACCTCAAGATGGATAATAAGACCACCGCAGAGCAGAGCCTGGAGCAGGGGGGTGGAGATAAGGACTGAGCTCAGAAGACACCATTAATGGAGCTTCAACCGGTCAATAATGATGACAAGGAATATGAACCTGTCAGGGGATCACCAATGATCGGCAGTGGGAATATTTAGGGTTTCAAAGACTCCGATCTATCTGTCTGGATGCACTGGGCAATCTCTCGTACAATCCGGTGTCTCTGAAGCCGGCCATACACCGGCAGATCTCCCGACATTCAGCAGAACATCTTATAACAGAAACGTTTCTATTGGTTAGAACATTCTCTGAGGGAATGGAAGGAAAACCACATTGTCA